CATTTAAAGGAGATAGACAGGAAAAGATAGTCAGTAACATCTAAAAGTGATACAGAAAATGTGTCATGACAGAATCAAGAATAATACTTGCTGAGTTACACCAAGCTAGGAGATTACAAAACCCTCCTGCACTATTACTAAGAATGTGGCTTTTAATAACACACACTAACCAATACAACCAATTTCCAAATAGGATATACTGAAAAATATTGAGCAAAACTCTCACTAGGTCAATCTTAAAAAAATAAATGATTGGCAAGTTCTAAATTCCATAAGACAATTGGCTCAGCAAGGACTAAAACTGTAAATCAGTGATCTTTGCATGCACCAGTGTCTAAGGGAGTATTCCCACACATACAGTTGCTCACGCTTAGCTCATGTTTGCTGAAGAAATCTGTATCTGAAAATTTAAGCTAAGCTTTTGTTCTGGACAATTAAACTAATTTGAATGTGAATTTCTAATACCACATTTGTTGTGATGAATAAGATAAACACACATTCTCTCCAAGACATGATGGGGACCTCCAGGCAAACCCAGCCTGAATGACTGCCCACTGTCTGGACGAGAGTTCAGGATTCCAGAATGGGAAACTCTGGCCTACAGACCTCTTCCCTAAAGCCAGACAGAAAAGGGCTTAGACCACTTTTTGGAGATTAATAATTATTTTAGGAAGTCTGAAGCATGCCTTAACTAATCACTGGCATTTGGAGAAGCTTTAAATCGGGCTATGGGTTAAATTTAGTGCATTCCAAGGCAGAGCCAACATACCAAGAGAGCACAGGAGAGGCAAGAGGAGAGCACCCTTCACATTTCCTTGGAGTCAGGACTGCATGAGTAGATGATAAAGCAATGCATGTTTTTTTTTTTTTGTTTTGTTTTTGTTTTTTAAACATTAGGTTTAATCAAGTATTATCTACGTACAGTAAAATTTACCCTTTTTAAGAGTATAGTTCTGTGAGTTTGACAAATGCATAGTCATGTTTCTACCACCACAATCAAGATACAACACATTTCCATCACCTCCCAACATTCCTTCATCATACTTTGTAGTTAATCCCTTGCCATACCCTAGCCCTCATAACCACTCATCTGTTTTCTATCCCTACAGTTTTGATTTTTCCAGAATGTCATATAAATGGAATCTATGTATGTAGCCTTTTGAGTGATTTCTTTCACATTCCATCATGTAACTGACAAGAAGGGTATGTTCTGAGAAGTGCATCATCAGGTGAGTTTGTTGTGCGAGCATCACAGAATGTACTTGCACAAACCTGGATGCTAGAGCCAACCACACAACCAGGCTATATGGTAGAGCATCCCAGTGAGAATGGGATACAACTGCTGAACAGGAAGTGGTAGGAACTGAAGTTGGAGAAGTGGACGGGGCCAAATCACATAGGAGTTAGTGTCACAGCAAAATTTTTTGCATTTTATAGGTGTGATGGGAAGCCATTGGAAGGTTTTGTGTAGTTGAGTAATGTAATCTGATTAATTTTTCACACCCGCAATCCTAACACTTTGGGAGGCTAGGTGGGAGGATTCCCTGAGCCCAGGAGGCTGAGGCTACAGTGAGTTGATTGTGACACAGCACTCCAATCTGTGTGACAGAGCAAGACAATATGTGAAAGAGATCACAGTAGAACAAAAGTAGAAAAACAGAGGCTAGTTTAGAGACTACTACAATCACCTGGGTTAAAAATGATAGTGACAAACTACAATAGTAAAATTGGAGGTGGTGAGAAGTGGTCAGGTCAGAGACATTATTTAGAGGAAGAGATGCTGGGACAGGGTATAGCAAGTGAGGGGTCTAGGGGTTCAAGGAAAGCTCCAAGGATGGTCTGAGCAACAAAGTAATGGCAGTGACATTCACCGGGACAGAGGAAAAGACAGAGGAAGGAGGAGCAGGCATGGTAGGGGGAGGCAGAGAACAGAGTTCCATAAATTTGGATGTCATCAGTATACAGATGGTACTGAATCCTTCCCCTGATCATTTTGCATATCTGTATCAACTTCTGATAGAGAAATTTCACTTAGGTCTCTGTTCTGTTACCCTTTAATACAGTAAGTGAATGCACCAGATAATATATTTAATCTCCACTAAGTTCCTAGAGTTAATTTTTTTTTAAATAAGAAAATAAGCTATAAGGTTCAAGCCTAGAGAGTTCTTCCATTTCTTACCTTCATTTTCTATGCACGGAAGAACAACCTGAGTTTCATAAGAAGGACCACTTCCAAATTTCACATATATTTTTTTTCTCAGAGTACTAACTGTTTGTTCAACTCCATTGGCTCAAATGGATTATGAATAAAACTTTAAAAAATGATTACATTTTTTCTTGCTTTAAAATGTTTCCCTGTTTAGTATCATTTACAAATTAATGGGTGAAAAAGGCATTTAGTGGTCCAAGTTTTCCATCTTATGAGATCAAGTTGATGCTGATATGGCAAAGGAGTACCTTTGGCTTAGACATACCCTTGGGTTGGGGAGAGGGTAACATAATGTAGAAAACCAGAGGGTGTGAAATGGAGGTTTACTTTGTGTCTCCTTTCCCCAGGGAGCCTAATTGTCCAAGTACAAGAGAGGAGCGTGATCACACCACCCACTTTGCACCTTCTAGGCCACTACACCAGTGTTTGATGTACAGGATTATTCCTGCCATTTATTCATCTGCCAATTCATCATTAACACATTTCTTGGAAGTTTCTTTATCTTAAAATTTCATGCAAATTTGTAAGCTATAACATAGTTGTATTTGCTTTAATATAAAAAGTCTTAATTTATCACTGAGTGCAACTGACAATCAGTGAGATATCGTATGAGACCACTATGTACAGTTGTGCAGGTGTACACTGCACACCTCAATGGGGTGCATTCACACTGCAGTTATTGCGGATTTGTTTATTACAAAACTTTTCTGTCAGACAGCAATAAAATGCCTTGAGGAAGAGGCACTGTTTTTTTCTAATTTGTAAAGGTGTCGTATGGGTGAAAAGCAGCCCTGAACTTTGAGTACCTTGGCACACAAACTCGGCATAAGCCTGAACCAGCCTCATTGTGTTATGTATGAAGAAGCCAAGTCCCCAAGAGGTGAAGAAACAAGGTATCACAGCTAGTTCAAGGCAAAGCTGCATTTGATCCCAGTCTCCACCGGCACTCCAGTGCTCTTTTATAGCAACATGCCACCTCTGTGGGGGTTGCTCTTTTCAGATGTGTGGGTTACTGATACGCTCTTTCATTTCTTTGCCCAGCCTTAGAAGAGACCTTTGCAAGACAGGTATCCTCTGCTGCTTTTGATATTTGCTTCTAACATGAGTGGATACACAGATAGATATAATAGAGCATATGTCAATGTAAAAACCTGAGAAGCACTGGAGTGGTCTCTAAGTGGCTTTCCATATTCATATGCTACATTTGTTTATTTTTGGTTGGGCTCATTCAACCTGGAGCAAGAAGATCAGTTATAGAATCATAACATAGCACTGGAATGGATCTTGTAAGTCATCTAACCCAACTCCTTCATTTAACATAACTAGGAAACACAGTTGCAAGGAGGTAACAGAATCCATCCAGGTAGCTGCAGCAAACTTATGCTATGGTTCATTCCTGAAACTCAGATTTTCTGATCACCAATTACTTGATCTTCCCTAAATATCACAATACTTCCCCACCAACCAACGAATAATGATTGGAAACAGTGTCAGAGACATGAAGAACTAGAAAGATGTGTCCTTAAGAATGTTTTCCAAGGTCTTGTTTGAGTTGAACGATGATAAATCATGAGTTTGAGAAGATAGACTACTTATTCTTTCCAAGCAAGAGGCACTACTGAGAATAAAAGAAGATTAGTTAGGTAAGACTATTAGAAATCCTCAAATGTACTGAAAAATAGATATAAAACTGGATTATAGTCATTCCGTACATGAATGGTTAATTTAGAAAGCATAATTGATTAGTCATATAGCAAACTATGTATGTCTATTTACTCTGACTCCAAGTCAGAAATTCTATGATGTAGAACATTAGTCTAAAGTGATTATTTTAATGAAAAATACATATTCTCTTGTAAACAGGATGTATCTCAAGCTACTATCTAAACAATAAAAGGAATTTGTTTATTAAGAAACAATATACTTCTCAGACTTTTAGCTTTATTTCAGAAATAAAACTTTAAATGTAAAAACAACACGGGAACTTCATTTCAATAATTTCCAAGTTCTGGAATGAAGTTGATGGTTCTGAAAGTTTATACAACCGTAAACTGCATATATACAGTTTCATATAGAACTGTATATAACAGTCACGTGCTGCATGATAATGTTTTTGGTCAATAACAGATTGCAAATATCATGGTGCTCCCAGAAGATTACAATACCATATTCTTACTGTACTTTTCTATGTTTAAATATACAGATAGCATTGCATTATAATTGCCTACAGTATTCAGCACAGTAACATGCTGTACAGGTTTGTAGCCTGGGAGCAGGATGCTCTACCATACAGCCTAGTTGTGCGGTTGGCTCTAGCATCCAGGTTTGTGCAAGTCCATTCTATGATGCTCGCACAACAAAATCACCTGATGATGCACTTCTCAGAACATATCCTTGTCATTAAGTGACGCATCACAAAACTCTTTTCAACAGAATCAAATGAGCATATTACAGTGGGACTCCAGTGTTATCTATATCGTTTTGTTGACCCTTCCTCTCATATATAACTATTAAAGATAAAAATAACCTGTGGGACAACTATTTCTTTCTTATAAAATAATTCTATATTTAAAATAATAAAGAACTGTGAACAAGAAGCCTAAAATAATTTATATCTCCTATATCAATTTCCCAACACAAACAATTTTGATTTTTCAACTCTAGCAGATAGTGCCAGCAAATAATGTATTAGGGAAAGCAAAGCTGCATGTGTGCACATAGCTTCCATTTTGATGGCCTTCCATTTCCGAGCTGGGCCATAACACAGCAAAATTGCAGTGGCATATTATACCTGATCATGGCTGGCTTCAATGGAGCTTCCAATAGCATGGAAAGTCATCTGCACAGGGGCTAATGTCAGACAGGTCACACACTCTTTGCCACTTTGTCTATCACAGTAGTGAACCTATAACAGAACACACGCAATCCACTGAACACCATTTTCAGAGGGGACAAGATGCAACAGATCCTTTTCCAAAGGGTCTAGACTTCAGGAAAATTCAAATAACTTACACAGAACTCACTTTAAATATTTAAAACCTTATTGAAACCCTCCAATATCTAGGACTTGAATTGAATCTATTAATCCATCTTAAGTGTTTTTGAGGATTTAAGGGAGTTTAGAAAATGCTATACAAAGTGCTTTACATTATAGCTAGTAGAAAAATTCACAACTAAATGCTATACCTATCTTTCAAGTCCAGATTTTTATAATGCATGATCCATAAAGGGCTCAAGCATAAGCTTAAGTCAAAGTTTATCTGATTCTAATGTAACGTTGCCAACCTGAATTTTCTCTCCTCTTTGCCTCCATGTATATGTGACTGACATATAAATGGTGGTGACACTCTTCTATTTCTCCAGTATAGTCCCTACAAAATCACTGTTGAATATGTATCACTATATCATGTTCTGTTTGAAATTTTGACATTACAATCAAACTGAATTAAATTGAAATGATTTGCCATATGCAGACTAGAACAAATGGTCACAATATTATCTTTCATTTAGTTAATACAACTAACCATTATTAAAACCACATGTAAGACACTTCACATCAGAGGCAGGCTACGTGGGGAAGAGGGAAGAGTGTGAGTCCATCTTCCCATTAAGAAAATTTCCATCTTTCCATTTATCTAGTGTCAAAAAAAATCCAAGTTTTTAACATTGTAAGCTAATAAAGTAAAAAGAGCATCATTTTTGTGATAAAAAATTAATGAAAATATGCCTATAGAATAAAATGGGGTTCCTACTCATTATATTAAACTGGTTTTATTAGCTATAACTTGCTCAATTTGTTAAATGTGTATAGATTTGGGATAAAGGCTTAAGTGAAAGTCTTGAATTTGTGAGGAAGAAAATTAAAAACACATACCTGAGTTAGCTCCTTATCTTGAGTTTTATTCTAATTGCTGCATAATGTCCATATATTTTTATTGCAAGATATGGCCTTCATTTATTTTGTCATGTATAATACGGATCTGACTGAAAATTACAACAATATGAGTCCTAGTCTAATGGTTTAATAATTCAAGTTTTTTTTAAACCACCAGGGTTGTTAAGAATGGCCATCATTTTCCCTGGAGGTAGGCAAACTTCCTCCTGGGAATCTATAAAAGTAGTTTAGAGCTCAAATCAAGTCAATATAAAAGCCTTATTCCCAAAGTACTATAAAGATTTTATTATAAAAAATAGTTTTACCAAGTTAACCTTGGGGAAAAAGATTTGACGACAGTTCTAATTCATCGTACTACACTTCCTGAGCATAGTAAAAGCTCAGTCAATGTATATGAGTTCAAGAATGTGGAAGTGTTGTTTACTACACAGCAAGTAGGTATGAAGGGGAAAAATGAAACCTCACATAACAAGTTTACGTAAAAGCCAATAAATGCTGACACTATAATAGCGACAGTTCACAACCATTTATGGTATGGTTAAACTATTATGTCTGATATAGTGCTATTATAAAACATGCTCTTTTAAAATTTAGTAAAATATAATTACCCTTTCGACACCAACTGAGTGTCTGTATGAAAGATATGACAATCCCCTAAATATACAGACGCTAAACACTTATATTGTCAGCTGACTTACTGCAGCTCTATTCTTTCTCCTAGAGAAATGAAAATTAGAAATGACAAAAATAGGACAATTCTAGTCAAAAAAATAAACTTTAGTTTCCATTGGTGACTCAGATACCATTCTTGACAGAGATAACTTTTCTCCTAACTGTATACGATTCACTGTGAAGCCTGCAAGTACCTAATAAAATACTGTGTCCTGAAGACTTTCAGTATTAGTGTGTTTACATGCATAACTCATATATGAAAGATCAATGTAAAGGTGCAAGTTAACACACAGCTCCAAAGATGTCACAGCACCCAGTGATGTGACAGAGACTGCTAGTTGTCCTCCAAGATTCTTCCACAGTAATTCTTAGCCAGGCACTTAGATGTTCGGAATAAAAAGCATATTTTCCAGACTCCCTTGCTGGCCATATAACTGAGTAGTCTGGAAATGAAAGAATTATGCAGCAGTTTCCTGGAAACTTTTAAAAGAGATTTTAGGAGCGTGGCTTTTGCTCTTCTTTACCCATTTTACCAACCTGCTGTTTGGAGTATAGATATTATCATCCTGACCATGAGGACAAGGACCAAAACCTACATGAGAGTAGTAAGTTGGAAGGAACCTACAGAATCATCACGCCAGCTATAGCCTGCAAGCTTATGGACCTTTAAGTGACCAAAAAATAATCTCTTTATTAAGTCAATGGGCTTTTTATCACTCACAAAAGAACATAATCTCAGGGAGATTTTTTTCCTATTGGCCCAGAATTGACACCAAGACCCATGGCCAAAACCAAAAGAAGCTGCCAACATTTAGGGCTAGGCCTTCCCCAAAACCCTCCCATAAAAGTCAGTACAATTGATCTAATCACAAAGCACACAGAGGAACAAAGAATGGGGAGGTGCATCAGGAGGGAATCATCTGGAATGTCAGCCTGATGAGAAATACAGTATTTCCAGTGAGTGGGTAGCTCTAACAGAATAGCTGATAGTGAGTGGGAATACCAGCATGAAGGGGAGGCTGACATTTCACTCCCTGGTGGGAGGCTTGCTGAGAACCAAAACTGTAGGCCCCTTTTGAAAAGAAATTTTGACCGAGTTTGCTGTATGTCCCTGGCAGTTTAGAAGCATATGAAAATATACAAACTGGGCCTGGAGATATCTGAGACCTTATTGAAGGAGTTCCAGGTAGGTAGTATACCAGAAAAAACAAAAAGATAAAGGAAGATATGATCACTTCCTATCTCCGTGGCCCTTGAACGGCATGAGAGAATCCCAGCAGAAGCCAAGGGGCTACTCAGGCCAGCCAAAGTAACACTCACCAACAGAGGAGGTCAGAACACAGACCACTGGGAAAGCCCAAAGGAGACATGGCTGTCCCTCAGGGCCAGAGGGGGCCACTGACTCAAGAGACATAGACGTGGTGTACCTGGAAAGGCACAGTGGAGGCCACCAGAAGCTGATGAAACCAGGATGAGTAGCAGCTTCCTCTACGCTGGTCACCCTGTAAGCCTCAAGAGCAGGAAGGCCATGAAATAGAGGTCTAGTGTGCAGGAAGGTGTCTCAGAGCCAGGTTAAGCTCCCACCCCACCAACCACAAATGAGAGATGCTGGAGTGAGAGGAGGAGTGAAAGCGATCAATGCATACTCTCCCTGCTCTAAGTCTCTTGAGCTAAAATGAATGGCTTGTAATGGAGGATGTCAACTTGGGGTTTACACTGATGCAGTAGATTTCTAAAAACTAAAACCTAAAAGCTAGCCAGAAAACTATGGGATTTGCTAAAGATATTACAAAGGAACATGAATTGGAGTTATGACAGGGCACAGAGGAAGGTGGTAACTGGAGAAATATAAAATCATTCTGTGTTATATCCCCACTGCATTCAGACTGCTCAGTAAACCAGATAAAAATATGTGGGAAAAAACATGAAACTATTGCTTGAGGACCCAAGTTCAAATTAAATGTAATAATATGCCGATAAAAGACCTTCAGAAAAAGTTACATTTTACATCTTCAACCAATGACTCATAAAAACAAGTTAAATATGGCTTTATTCAGGCATACATTTTTTCCTCTTGGAAATAAAAATATCAGTGTTCATGAAATTGTGAATTTAAAAAAATATGTGAATAACATTTTGAAAGTCACCCTTCTAAGTCTAAAAATGCTTCTTATTATTCAAAGCATTTGCAGGAACCAGGAATCTTATAACACTATACTAAAATAATTAGGGCAATAAAATTCCATTCATTGTGTCTGTAACACACAAATCTTCAGAACTGACTGGGTAAACTCTTTCTGCTAGAACAAAGCAGTGCGTTTCTACAAATGTGGCCCTAAAAATTCCAATACACAATGTCATAGGACCTTGATTTTGATGAAAGAAAAATGAATAAAGGTAATTATAGAAAGTTACAAAAGAGTCATCACCCTATGTTTTGTACACCAACGACAAAATCCTAAGTCCCCTCAAACTGACTTAATAGACTCCCCTCCCCGCCCCAAGTCAAAGAGGACCTCAGAGAAATACAAAAAAACTGAATTCCCAGCCATGATAGAAATGGGGGTTGGATATGTGCAGCCATTTTAGGCACAACTAACCAACGTTAACACTGAAATAGAGATCATAAGACTGATGAAACATATTCTTTGTGGCCATAAGATACTAAGTTCCAAACTGACTCTGGCATAGCATCACATGACAGATAGCAGACCTTGAAGGAAATCAAAATATTTCATTTTGATTTCCTCTACCTACATTTATCTGACATACTTTTAAATGGTCCTGCAAAGCAGTCTCTTGTGGGGGGAAACACATCTGTAGAGAATCTCCATCAATGTGGCCAAGCCTCCCCTGTTTAGGCCTTTCCTGGGTCTAAGAGATTAAACGAGAGTCTGGGCTGAGGATGGTGGCTCGAACCTGTAATCCCAGTGCTTTCAGAGGCCAATGGGGGAGGTTCCCTTGTGAGACCAACCTGGGCAACACAGGGAGACCCTATTTCTACAAAAAAAATTTTTTTTAATTATCTGGGTAGTGTGCCCAGAAGTTTGAGGCTGCAGTGGGCCATAACAGCACCACTGCACTCCAGCCTGGGTGACAGAGCGACACCCTGTCTCAAAAGTATAAAAAATTTAAAAAATGAGAGTCCAACAACTTTAAGGTCTGAAAAGAGACATTCACCATCTATTCACTCTGAAGGCTGTTACCTATGAGGCTTCATCTATGTAACAAGAACCCTGGCCTCCACAACCATTCCCTTTATATAAGCTTTTATTTCTAAACTGAATTCAAGTCTTTAGACAAAGCTTAACTCTTTCAACCAATTGTCAATCAGAAAA